CCCCTCAAAAAAAAACATTAGAAGGTTTGATTAAAAGGACGAGAAACTGGATATTACTGTTGCTTGCAGGCTGATGCGTTTCGAGAAGACGAATGAAATGCTTGTAAATTGCTGTGCCCTATCCAGCAGGCGGTTGGAGAAGGCGAAGAAGGAACTGATTTTCAATCGGCAGCTGATCCTTGAGATGAAGTCCGACCTGGAATCCATATTTCGTCGCATACGTGCCTTGAAGCAGAACTATATCAGCAAATATCCACAAATTTATCAGCATTTTGGTAGGCGCTCCGCTTTCATCTGTTCTGGATTACTGCTGTTGTGATGTGAATCAGTTCCACTGCAAATGTTGCCTCCGCTTTCGTTGCCCTGGTTACTTCTCTTGTTCGCCAGCACCATCCTGCCAATATGCCCAACTTCAGCCCGTCATACTTTGCTTTGGAATCTTTTGACTGCCAACATAGACGGAATATGGAAAGCCGGTTGACGTTCCTTACCGGCAGTAGTAAGATGAGAGCGATTTCGAGTATTTTATCAGATTTTCCCGGAGAAGATCGCCAACTCCTGACAGAGGGAGAAAGCAAGCGATCACTGCCTCGTGCTGGCAGCACGCTTGAGTCGCTCCCTTCCTCATGAAAAGACTGGTCCAGACCTGGTTGGGCTTCGTTTCTCGATCACTCACAATAGGCCACACGAGGGTGATTTATCATTGAGGCACTAGCAGGTACTCTTTAAATTCTGGCAATCTTTGCCGCCCACTTTTCATTTTTTGCTGTCTGCTGTCATAAAAACAGCAGTAAGTTCTCCGTTTTTTTTTTATTAAAAGTCATTAGAAAGAACTCACTGCGCTTATAGCCAAGAATATTTCAGAGAAACAATACCGTTTGGCAGAGGAAGAGGAGGAAAGTTAAGTGGTGATACTGCTGCTACAACAAGCTCAGGTGCACAAAGCTGCGTTTCTTTAATGCATTGGCTCTCTCTCCCTCCATCCATTTCTAAATTTGCTTAATTGTGATATCACTGTAACAGCAACGGATTTAACAATTCTTCGCTTAGCGTCTTACATTTTGGTATTTTTGGCTGGGTTCTTCAACCTGTACGGTTGCGCCGGTTATTTTTTTCCCCATCTAAGATTTCACTGCCTCCGTATAAAGTGTATTCATACTGCACAATGATATGACGTTCAGAACGAAGTCATTTTTTGATGTTCCTAACCTGACTTTACCCAAACGGTAACATGGTGGGATGCTTAATTTCAGTTCGTATCCTCCTACTGCCTCCATAATTGATGATTTAGAGCACTTTAAATTACTGAATGTGTCCCGAAGGCGAGTGCACCGCGCTGGCCTTCATCGAGAAACAGAAAGCAACAATGGCCTAGCACGGCGAAGTTTCGAGGGATATGTAATGCGGCTGAGTACCACTCGAGTGTTTACTCGCCCCGTCGTTTTAATGACTTAGGGAGAGGTAATTTATAGCGGGCGTGATTTTGATCGGCCTTTTCCATGCGTGCACAAACGTAATACCAGGCCTGCAGGCACATAACTACGCTTGCGCACATGTCAGAATACCTAAAACATGTACAATATACAGGGCAAATCACAAACAGGAATTCTTTTGAAGAAACCATAAAAAAAAGGTGTTGTAGAGAGAAAGCAGAAAATTCAAGTAACTGATTTTTACGGTGAACGTTTTGTACGGGCAGACATACGGAAGTTCTTTGTGGATGGTTTTTTTTTTCGTCGCCTCTGTGTTTTCTCAACAAAAATCGAATGTGCATTTTTAGAATGCCCAATAAACAGTTCTCCCAAGTTTCGAATTTTGCAGGTGATCGAATCTGTTGTCGGTTCTTGTCATCGTTGAGGAACCAACCACATGCCAGGAAGCAATCGTGTCCAGAACTACCTGTTTCCAGTTTTTCCCGGTCTCAGCTATGATTGAGTAATCTCTCGGATACTATCGTTCCACTGATTATTTGCTCTCTCTCCCTCTCTCTTTTTCTTGATATGACAGGTGTTACATAACTGACTGGATTGTGCGAATTTTTTTCCACACAGTTTCAGAGTTACGATAGTGAAAACAAGTGACATGCATGGTTAAAGTAAAATTATTGCTAAATACAAAAACAGCAAAGAAACAAGGATCTCGAAGGTTCACCCGTTTCTGGTGAAAGATAGAAGCTTCAGGATTTTGAAGAGTGCTTTTTCTTACGTTTGATATCAGCTTTATCGGAACTGCTCTCGCCACTGTGCTTCCGTTTTCGTTTTTTCTTGTGTTTCTTGCTTTTCCCGTGCTTCCTTTTCTTTTTCTTCTTTTTCACTTTTTCATCTACAAGAAAATCAGTTTCAACTTCAAATAAAGCTACCGCACATGTTGCTGTTTCATTCTTCCACGTTCCTCCTGAATTTGTTTGCTTGAATTTGCTGGCTTATCGTTTTTTGGTGTAATTTAGCACCCTCACGGCTGAGTTTTATGTTGCTTTTGCTTCTTCACCCAAAGTCGGACTTTAAATATTCATCGCAACACAACTTCTTCCTTGTTAATGCAAAAGATAAAAAACAAAACTCCGAAATCTCGTACTGCTGCTTTACTTGACAGCAAATTGGTTGCTGTTGTTTTTACTACTGCAGTAGCCAACAAAACTGTAGCTGCCTTTTAACACGCACACTGATGAAGTTGTTACCATGATTGGCACCGAGTGGTGTTTCGTAGTCCGATTCCGAACTGGTCGTGGAGACATCAGCACAAGCATTGCCCACCTGCTTTGGGGTCAAAAAATTATAGCACTGGAACGAGAGATGCCCCGGATAGCCGCACTTTCGACATGCACCGCTTGCCGACTGCCCGCTCCTCCGTATCGCATGCATTTGGCCTGTTAAAGCAGCATCTGCAATCACACAACATACACACAAATGCCCCGAGAAGGGCCATTCACTGCACTCCAGATGCAGTCGAACTTCCAGCTATCAGTGTGAGGAGGTAGATTTTGAGTGAAAAACGGATACGATGTGACCAGTGGCAGCGAGCAGCAGCGGTGTGATGAAGACTGTCAGAATCGTCCACGCTGCTGCTCCTGCTCAGCTGCCGGAATTTACTTTTTTCAAATATGTCATGCAAATCGGAACATACTGCCGGGGTACTGGGAGCCGCTCGCGCTAACATACGAATACTTCGTTTTCTCACTCTTCCCGAAGTCCGGCGGTGGATCCAGATTCGTGTCGCAGCCCTGTAAATGAACGGCTGTAATGAAATCGTCACTTTAAGGCAACCAAATGATCCAGACGGGCGAGCACAGAAGCGCAAAATGAGCCCAGAAGGGAAGTAACATTTGACCACAGTGAACATAAAATTAAACTATAAAAACGGTGCAGCGCTTGTCCAACAGGCGGTAAATTTTGCAGAGCAGTTCCAAACAGCATTGTGCGGGCGTTAAAACCGATAACAGGAAACCGGTCATGCGATGAAACACTGAAAGCTGACGTGACTGGACAGAAGGGGAATTGAAAGGGGACCTCCCTCCCCCTCTCGCTGAGCTAGGCCTCTTTTTCTGGAACCCACTGCGTTACTCTGACCGGGCCTAGCATAAATGGAAAACCTATAAAATATGCTTTACGAAAATTCCGACAATCACGAACTAGGGAGGTGAGCAGATTTTTGCAGTCTTATCTGAACATATCTCTTCCTCCTGACCATGCACCCCTCCTACCTCCTGCCTCCAGCAGAAACCATGCCTTCGTCCACTGTATACACTTCCGTCCCTGAGGGGCCGCTGAAAAGTATTAATCGCTCCCCGCAAAGCTACGGCTCGGCCCGGTCGCGTCGGAAATCAAGTTGCGATGACTCATC